CTCTTTCCTAGTTCTGTCTTTCAAGATTGTCCCCTTAAATGACATCCCCCCCCATGGAACCAGGGGCCATTTCTCCTTCCAAGACCCTCTACTCATTCTCTATTCCCTGTCCCTTTAGTGTCCTTCTGTCTACTGCCCCTCTCTTCCCTCTCTTCACCATGTAACAAATGTGGTGGTTTGAATGAGAATGGACCCCAGAAGCTCATAGGTTTGAAGTTTAGTCCCCAGCAGGTGGAACTCTTTGGAAAAAATTATGAGGTGTGGCTTTGTTGGAGAAGACATGTCACAGAGGGTGGGATTTGAAGTTTCAAAAATCCACACCTTTCTCAATTAGCTTTCTCTGCCTCGTGCTGGTGGATCAAATATAAGCTCTGAGCTACTGATCCAGCTCCACACTTACCTGCCTGCTGCCATGCTCTGAGCCATGATGGTCATAGACTCTAAACCTGAGAAACTGCAAGGCTCCAAATACACTCTTCTGTAAGTTGCCTCGGTCATGGTCTTACCACAGCAACACAAAGGAACTAACACAACAATAATTTATGGGACTGTAGAGATGGCTCAGCAGATAAGTGTAAGTACTGCAGTAGGTGATTAATTCTACACAAATAGACCCGGTGTTGGTGCCGAGAGTTCCTTGCTCCAGTGTTCTGGGTTCTCAAATGAAAGACACACATACAGGAATATATTTTACTATGCCTTAAACAGCTCAGTGGTAAGGCAACTCCCAAATCTCCACATGGCTAACAATTCTCCACTGATACTCCTGAGGTATTACTTAATAAAGTTTATATACTACCTTTCATGTCCTAGACCAAATGCGGGAGAGGGAATGGGGCCACTCCTTCTTGGCTCTTACATCATTGGTATGCTCTGTCTTCTATTCGTCTCAGGCCTGGACACATCTACAGCAACAAGGGCACACCTCCTAACAATGCCATTCCTCGGCCAAGCATATATAAATCAGCACAAAAAAAGAACAGGCAACTGAAAAAATAAAGAAGCTTTTTACTTTCAAATTATGCAGCATCATGTGTTGAAGCCCCGAGTCCCTAGTGTCCCTAGTGTCTCAGATGTATTGCCACATGGCTATTAATGACAATCAACTAAGACAAAATGGGGCATTACAGCAGATCTTACCCTTTTGGAATAGTGTCCCATAAGAAGAGATCAGGGCATGGAGCTGTACAGAGAAAACCACCCAAAGACTGGAAAGAAGGTGCCACCTGCTGGCCATGGGGAGGAACTAGCTCTGTCCACAAGGCTCCCAGGCTCTTGCCTCCCCCTTTGTAAGCCACTCTGGCCTTGAACTTGAGGTCCTTAGGTGCTGGGATCACAGGTGTGTTCTCCACACCCTGCTCTCCACATGCTGTATTAAAGGATTTGCCTGGAAAAGCAGAGCCATCCAGAAGGATCTGTAATGAGCAGGAAGAGCCAAGGGGGAAATGAGCCAGAATGCAGGATATGAGGTGCACACAAAGCCAGTGATGATTTTATAGATCTACCAATGAAGAGCAGACGAAGTGAAGGAACAGTTCTCTTTACAATAACCTAAAGAAGAAGCAGACACCTAGGAATGAGTTTACATGAAATGACACAAGCCTGGGACATTAAAAACATTGAAAGAGATAAAGGAAGGACTAAGTAAATGGAAGGGTACTCTAGACTTAATATGAGTAAGGGTTTTAATTACTCAATTATTAGTTAATAATTTACTTATGTATTATTAATAAATAGTATATGGTTATGTGCACATGTGCATGTGACAGGTGCCTGTGTGAAGGTCACAGGACAACTTACAGGAGTTCTCTTTCTACTGTATGGATCCCCAGGCTCAAACTCAGTCAGGTGGAAGGTACAGGGTGGAGAGACAGGAGAGAGGGAAGGGAGGGAACGAGAAGAGAAAGGGAAAGAAAAAGGCAAGGAGCAGCTTCTAGTGGAGTTCACGTGAAATTAGAAGTCACAGGATTTGGTGGGGCAAGCCTGTAATCCCAGGACTGTGAAGGCGAGACCGGAGAATGAGACATTCAAGAGCATCTGCATATTCTTAGAAAGTTTCTGGGTTACTTGAGATCCTGTCTCCAACAACCAAATCAAAACAATACAAAAACCAGTGTAATAGAAAGACACGCACCAGAGCAAGCAGAGTCCAGAAACACACAGTGATGTGTACGCTGGGGCGATTTTCAACAGTACTGTCTTGTCTGCCTGTGTTGAGAATAATAGTGTTTGCAGATGCTAGAGCTGGGACAGCTGGGTAACTGCAGAATCCTTACCTCACACATCACACCAAAAGATAATAATAATATAAAATAAAATAAAATAAATAAAATCAACACTAATAGATCCACAGTTTCATGTCAACAGCCAAGCTGTGACTCAATGACAAAGTCTTTGGCTTTTAAGGAGGAGAGCTGCTCCTCCCTCAGAATTGTCAGCTTCTGTGCTTCTTTGGTTCAGATAATGCTCATCAAAGAAAGCCACATAGAACCAACTCAAAGCACCTGTCCTCACTCATCCAGACCCTAACCTTGATGGTTGTCATGCTACATTCTGCCCCTAGGGGCGCTCCTCTGCAGTTGAATTTGAGATTGAGGCTGGGCCTCCTTCAGGCTGACATAGGAGCTTAGCCTCGTGAAAGTCTCTCCCTTCCTCTCCTGCTTTGTTTAGAGAGATGAGCTTTGGGACTCTCATTTCCTCTTTTAATGGCATATCTGAATCGTTTCTTTGGGGCAAACCCACTGTGTTCAGGTACAACACTACAGATGTTACAAAAGTGAACTCCATGGACCTAGATTGGGTGATGGAGTCTTATACCAGAATACAAGCAATAACAGAGAATCCAAACATAAGAATAAAACCCTTAAGCAGGTTGTGGTTGTGCTACCCTGTAATCCCAGCGCTGGGGACATGAAAGCAGGAAGTAGGGATAAGGCTGGTCCAGAAAGTCAGAAGAGCAAAAGAGCAACAGATCTGTGATAATGGACAGATGGACAGAGGATAGCCACTTGCAGATCCAATCATTTCTCCCTCCTGGAGGAAACAGAAGAGTAACTGAAAGAGAGCCTCCATCACAGGGCTTCGATGATGGGACAAGACTTGGTGGTGACTTAGCTGCTAAATAATTCTGAATGTTCCTAAGAGGGACCTCACTCATCCTCTGTAAAAAATTCACCTAAACTCATTGGATGGTGAAACTGGGGATGGATTGCCATGTGGATCTGTCATTGACGCTGTATGTTTGTTTGCAGAGAATTGCTGTCTATGGTCTTTGCTGCACATGTACTTGTTCATGCATGAGACAATTCCTAGGGTAGCATGTGAAGAAATTACAGTGAAAACTTGTCTTGCTTCATCTCTTCCTCCTACCACTGTGCTGGGTTATGAGATGTTGGACACAAACATTGTACGCTTGCATCATAGATTAAAGGGTAACAAGGAAGAGATTTAGGAATGGTGCTAGGATAGAAGACCTGGAATGTAACAGAATGTTAACAGACCCATAATGACTTGTAAAAATTCAGGAGTGATGGCTCCAAGTATTTGAAGAAGTCAACATGTTTGATATTCAGTCCTGGAAAGGCTGATGCCCCACTGCTCCTTGAGAATCCTGACTTCAGCCTACAGTGTCTCTCTTTCTTTGATCAATCATCCTGTGTAACACAGAACACTGACACTGGAGTTGGATGTACATGTGTTCCAACCAGAAATGATAGAAAGACCAAGACTGTGTTTTAGGTCTGTGGATTCCATCAGGAGAATCTGCCTGCTGTTCTCTCACCCTCTGACTTTCTTCCTTTCTTGCCTGCTTAAGTCGATGTGCTCAGCTTTGCTGGTTCTGTCGTCCAACTTGGGACAAAGTTGTCCTCTGAGCGTACCTGTTCTTTCGCTGTGGTGACATCTCAGGATGATTTTTGAGCTCTTACCACTTTCTGTGCCCAGCCTTCCTCCTCTAAGCTTTATCAGTCCCTGGAAGACACTTAAGTGTGGCTACTCACTGGGCTCTGCTCCATGAGGTTATGAAACTCAGGTTCTGGCTAGCTATGGGGGCCCTGCTGCTCATCCCAGGGCTGGGCCACAGATGACATCAATATTTGGAAAATTTGTAAGGTTTTAGTTATTAAAATACTCTACCACATGATGGTGACATAAAGTCCAGGGATTCCTTTGTGGGACACATTGGACTAGGACCTAATAGGTATAGGGACAGGCAACATACAAACTGGAGCAGGGAGAATGAGCCTGTGACTTCTTCATGGAGGCTTCTGGGCTGCAGGGACACTGGGGTCATTCACCCTCAGCATACAACTGCCTTGTGCTATGAAAAGCATCCCTGGCTCTAGCTACCAGATGCTCACAGCACCTGCAGCCCCATACATCACCCAAACACATCAGACACTGCTTAGTAACTTACATCCCAGGTGTCAGTTAGTTCTTGGCTCAGAACTCTCACTTTGTGAGTACAAGACCCTGCTAGCAGCTTGGTCACCAGAGCCAGTTCCCAGGTATTTGTCAGTTGTTTACTGGCTTATAGGAAGGAGGGCAGTGGGCTCTGAGCCACTGCACCCTATACCTTCTACTTAGAATCAGGGAAGATCCAGGTGGTGGTGGCAGAAGCAGCAGCAGCTGCTGAACACCCCTTTCATAGTTATGTATTTGAGCCAACCTGTTCTACTGAGCAAGTCGCAGGACAGGCAGAGCTACACAAAAAAAAAAAAAACTCTGTCTGAAAGGAACAACAACAATAAAAATCCCATGAAACAAGACAAAAGAAAAAGGCTAATGCAAGGCTATGCAAGTTGCCTTCTTACCTTGCTTTCTGAAGTTGAAGCACAAGCCAACTGTGGCCCCACCCTTCTGTCCTCAAAATTCTCCAGCATCAAAGTCCCTCCCCAACTGCAAGGTCCATCCTTCCTCATTCTATACAAATCTGATTAACTGTTACAAAATAAAATTGTTGGCCTACTCGGAGTACCAAAAACCCTCTTCAGGATGCCAAATGGGAGGAGCTGAGAGAAAAGAGTACTTATTTCAGCCCACATCTGACAGATTGTTCTGCTCTGCCTACAACCTGGTCACAGAGAGGAAGTAAGAACTGGTGTCAGGAGGGAGCTGCTAAGTGGCAAAGGGAAGAGGCCTCAGGATAGGACTGTGGGTGAGAGTTTGGGATTCTGAAGGAAAAACTAAATGCCTGTTGGGTAAGAGAAGTAGGCAGAGCTGGGCAGTGGTGGCACATGCCTTTAAT